ATTAGTCGGAAACAGATGGAAATTAAGGTTCACGCGGATAAGCAAAATTTGTCAGCTGTCCGTAAAACGTAGACACAAGATGAAAGCTTCGTTACTGGAAAATCGTGGATATACCTCGATGTAAGAATATGGAAATAAGATATACGTTGGATATATCGTTAGAAGAAATATAGAAAGTGGGTAACCAGGTAGCCGGTTGTCCACCTTAAGATCGAAAGAGGAACAACAAGACGAGGAAGAAAGACAGGAGCAACAAAGATATCTACGATCGAAATTGGATACAATTGGCCGAGTATACGTTAGGATATATATTCGATGCAAGTATCGGGGCATACCGCCGTATCGGCGAACCTCTACGTTCGTTTTAATGCGCGCCTAGATAATTGGCTGGAAGCTGTTAGCTAGTTCCATTAGGAAACATCTTATTGGCCTTAAGGCGCTTATTACTACTCTTAATTGCGCGAACGCGCGCTTTTACTCTTATTAACTGTCGTCGACGACTATACCCTAATAGGATGGCGTTATTACCCGGATAATACGTTTTCACGCACGTCTTTTTCATAGTTTCTTATCTTCTTGCCGGGGCATTTCGCTTCGGCTGGAAAAGGAAACGTGGAGAAAGGTGGAAGGATAAAAAGATGGGCGAGTTGGCGAAAAAACTAAGGTAACACACTGTCGTTACACTACGCGAAACATGCAACGACTAAAAGAAAAAGAGTCAGGACGAATCGACTAGAACGGACGTAGGAAAGATCCAGACTGGTTTCAGCTTCGACGTGCATTGTATGTACCGAGGGGTATCCATTAGGGACAGAAGTATTCGCGCGCGAGATATATCGACGTCGCCCTGGAGGATTTATCGTGACAGCGGCGCTTGAAGGGATTGTAAATCCCCGTTTGAGGATCGCTGATACCAAGTTTTATGTGGGACATTAGTTGGGTGGGGCGTGGTTGAATGGTGCGGAGTCGAGAATAGCGCTGGAAAGACGAGAGGAGACACGAGGAGAAAGAATAGGAGAGAAAGAAACAGAGACGAAGAGGGGTGGTGGGAACGCAGGCAAGTAAGAAACGCCGCGAGTAAGTGTGTGCGAGGAGGAAAGAGAAAGAGAAGGAGAAAGAGAAAGAGAAAGGGGGAACTGCTTGGGCGCAATAAATTAGCCCGAAATGAAAGACAAATCGCCTCGGAGCTGTCCGCCCGTTCGCCCAACGTGATAGAAGTGCGCGGACCTAGCTGATGCCGACTGCTACTGCCTCCTCTTTTCCACCTTCCATCTTTCTACCACCCCCTTCTCTGTACTTCTTTCCTTCCTCGCCACCCCTTTTACCATCTCTGTCTCTCTCGCTCTCGCCATCTTCTTTCTCCTCTTTGCCTCGGTATTCTCGGTAGACCAATCCTCAGGGTGACTGAGAAAGAGACTGAGAATGTCGGTTCTTCCGACTTTTTCTCTAGTTCGTTCGGTTTCGCGTGTCACCGACCACCTTGACGGACGGCTGTCGATACGCAAGGGACCACCGCTATCCTTCTCACCCATCCACCTACTAACTTTGTCCACACGTCCTCAGAATTTTCCCCCTCCTCGCCTAACGTTCCACGATAGACGCTCGTCTCTGACCGATCCGATTACCTTCGATCGGTCTAAATCACGACGGAACTTAATAACCGGCGTGTCGAGCGTTACAATTGACGAAGCTACGATTCCTACGAAAATTACGAAAATTCACGGGATACTACGCGGTTCCTGTAATTTTAGTTCGCCGAATGCTTCGAATTTCATTTCGCACCGCACATACTTTTCGTTCGTTTATGGTTTATCGAGTCGCGTGTTATACCGATCCATGTGAAACACGACAGACACGTCACAGATACGAATTTTCGACGTAAACGAGATACTGTAATTTTCCAAAAAGCTCTCCCTCCCCTTTTGTTACATCGGGCAAGGGTTGTCCAGAAAATAATTCATAGAGCAATCGCGGCAACAGCAGCAACACCGGCACCAGTACCACCAGCAACGCTAGCAGGACGAGCACACTGTTGCCGAGTGTCTGCGGCGAAATGAACGTTTTAATTCCCCTCCATAAAAGCCAACGACAAATCAAACGACTTTGACATGATTAACTGGCGGGCATAAATATCGGTATCAATGCACGTGCACGTGCAATGACGCGTCGCGCCATGCCCCTCTTTCTTCCTCTTTTACCCACTATCTACCTATCCATCTATTCATCCATCTTTTCATCTATTCATTCGTCTGTTTGCGCACCCATTTATTTATTTGTTAAACTATTTATTTATACAGCTATCTAATAAGCTTGTTATAATATATCATCTTTCGCCATTACCTTTTCACCGATTTCCTTATTAGTACGATACGTAAATAGGTAACAGTAGTACGTATTTTCTAAAACACGTATCATCTTAAATCCGATCTTCTTGTTTATTCCTATCTAATTATTTACAAATTTCCATTTTCTTTAAGTACCGATCCAACGATCGATCGATCGATCGATCGATCGATCATGGAACGTTCCATTTTAAAACACCGAGTACCCGATAAAGAACCGATAAACTTTTTATTTCGATCCGTCAATCACACAGTTCGCCCGTGTTTACCCGCGATCAGAATTTCTTTCAAAAATTTCTGCCTAACGAAACGCTTCGTCCGTATAAAATACGAATATCGTCCGAAACAACTGCCGCTATACTTCCTTTGCGAATCTCATACAACCAAATGTGCATTTCATGTATATTACAACGAACCAAACTTCTTAGTAATCAAGGCACAAATACATTTTCTGTACGTGAAAATTTCATAAAAAGAAGTCGTCTAAAAGTGACGATAGCGAAGAATAGAATCTAGAGTTTCATATCGCGATAGCTCACATTACAGATCCGATTAATATTCACTACTTTGCTCCAGAGATATCAGCGTGCATCGTAAATGCCTTCCAATTCGATTGTCCCTTCGCAAACATCGCGTAAAGGTGGAGAATTTCAGGAATCCTTGGAAAGTTGAAAAACTTCCCGCTTGGTATATGTAAGAAACTGGGTTACGGCAACAGGTGGGTACTAAAGTAAATATACGCACATTACGTCTACTCCTTAGGACCGGGAAAGGATCATTACGTATTTGAATTTTCCTACGATTAACTGTCACGTTCTCGTAGCTTTCGCCGTTGCATGCATCGCTCACGCTTAAACCATCAAACGGATACAATTTTCGCCCGGTCTATACGTTACGAATTCGATGCATTCGGATCTCCGAAAAGATTCACACACATCACGCGTCGATGCGTGACTCGTACTTTTTCAACACGAAAACGAATCGAGAACCAATCGTATCGACAACTTTCGGGACAATCTACGTTTAAAAAATCTTCGGGTAAATTGTGCTCGCGTATGATATGAACGCGTCGAATGATGTAGTTTTCATATTTATCGAAAATCCGTGGATGTATAAATTTAGTCGAAAAAATAAATCTTTAGAATTACGTTTTAAAACGATGTCGTTAACAAACCACTAGGGAGCATGTACAAGTTCGAAGGTAAACAACAAGACGTCTCCGCACCTGCGTACGCCATTAAACTGTACCATTAACTATTAACGTAGACATTTATCGCGCGTAATATATTCGACGGATTGTAGTAGCTCAGAAATGATTCCATCTTCCTTCTTTCTTACTCATTTCCGACCGTATTTTTTAAATATATCCGTACAATTCCTTTTCTATGAATCTAACTTGAAGTAACAGATAAGTGACTCATTAAAGTTATATTTAAAAATCTATCGAAATATAGGTATAACTATTTCTATATAACAAATGGAAATTGTGTTACGACATGGATAATTATAGTGTATGTGATTTCAATTATTGAACCAGATGCTGATCAGGTAGAACAAAATTATAAAATATCTAATGTCAATAAGGGACAATTCCATAGTCGATAATGTGCTCTACGACTCTCGTTGTTACCGACTCTTAGTATATCGACTTCGTTTTAAAATCACCGATGAATTAGTTTACCCAACGCGACCATTTGAAATTTTATCTATTATTGGCAACAAATATTATCATAGACAAAAACTTACTGTTATTTCCTATGTTACCAACATAAAATGACAATAACACAGGTGAACACATCAAATACTGACCTTACCGATAGTATTGCGCGCGATCAGAAAAATTAAAATAACGCATTGAAGAGAAAACTTTGTTAGAAGATAACGAAAAGTAACGAAGTAAGAAAAAGAGGAAACATATCCTTTTTCATATTTTTCTTCTCTTTACTATCAAGTGCTTATTTATGAAAATATTGCTTTTTCAAGATTACAAACTAATTATTATTCATTTACCACAGAGATAAGATGTCATGTCGTATAATATAAATAGAATATGTAGTTTATATGTAGTGACATACACGATACACGATAAAGCGAACAATGCATACTGATAATAAAAGGCAAAAAGGGAAATCCTAAGCCATTGACTATTGTAAACAAATCTCAACATTTCTAAAAGAAATGTTTAATGGCTTCATAATGTTATTATTGCTAGTAGAGTCAGAATTTTCTGGGTAAAAAATAATAATAAACGTAGAAATATATAGATAAATAACTACATAGAAAATAAAGCATAAATATACAAAGTATAAAACATAAAAGTAAAGGTAAAAGTAAATTCTAAATCGGTGTAGGGGTGTAGTATGCAATAATCGTGTACAATTTTTTTTTCTTCGACCGGAATAAAAATTGGTTCGTTCTATCCGCGTACAACGCGGACATATGAATGATTCGTAAATATTGCCTGCCTAACTGAATATACGCCATTTATTTTGTGCTAATAAAACATGGCGCGCTTTTCTTGTCCGTTAAACATAACTGCGCAGTACGACAAAAACGCGATGCGCAAAACGTGTTCAAACCTGTCTATGATAGCTATCCTTCTCGAATATAACAAAAACTACTAAAAACTACTCAAAAATTAAAGAAAATCAAACTTACCAAATCTGCATGAAAAGTTTTCGGACTCATTGTCGATCATCGCAGTGTTCTTTTGTATTTCGTGTATCCCTCTAATGCTTCAAAGTTTCCCTCGCAATGAAGCAATGATCTGCACAAAAAAAGATCAAAGCATTAAAATAAATGTATAAAATAAATGTAAAAAAATGTAATTAAAATAAATGTATACAAAGAATAGATTATTTGATAATGAAACAATTATCGATTAAATTGCGTCTCGAAAAATCATTACAAGATTTACCGGTAAATGGAGTAACCAAAAAGACAATAAAAAAAAAAGAAGATAATCAAATAATAGATTATAACGTAATATTGAATAGAAACGTACATTAATTAAACGAAGTTACCAGTAAACGAATGATTATAAAAACACTACGCAGCGGAGAAATTGACACCTGTCACGGAATAACACAGATACACATTTAATCACTCTGATTTTCGACAATAAACTGACACTTGCGCCGTAACTTGCGCAGCGAATTTCAAATGGTGGGGAGAGCGTGTACGTACCGTGCGTGTACGTACTGTAGAGGTCACTAAATGCGGAGAATTGGAATCATTGAGTTGTCGAATTTCGTGGCGGTAGCGTGTAATACATTGTGACAGGTCAGTGATGTATTGTAACCTATCAGTGACGTTTTTTCAATGACATTGCCTTTGCATTAATCTTACTACCGTTTATATTATATTATTAACATTATATAGTTAATACATACGTATTTATTTACGTATTTAATATACGTACTTATTTAACAATTCATAAACATTAAAATAACGAAATTAAGTACGTATGTAGTTCTCTGAAATATTTTTTGTTAATATTTCTTCAATCGTCCATTTCACTGTTAACATTACCGGTAGCTTGTGTTGTAGTTTCCGTAATAGAATTTAAGCTTGATTATTGTTTCATTTTAATATATTTAATTTTATTTTATACATTTTTTATTACTTTCAATTTCCGTTTTTGCACATTATTGGTTGATTGCAAAGATGGCATACGAGTAGTAAGAGTTATGTGTAAATAAGGAGTGTTTAATGATTTTTTCATAGTTACTGGCTTTACAACTTTCGACGATTGAATTGAACATATTTCTTATGTTGGTCGCAGCAAATTACAATAAGAAACACTTTAATTTTTTGAAAATCGATATTTCAGATAATTCCTACACTCACCGCTCTAAATCGTAGATAGCATAATCTCGTGATACAAAATCCTATAAGATGCCATATCTATTTCATACTTCGTCTATAATGATTTATCTTATATATTGTTCGTCATCTAATTTTATGATTCTTACAGATGTCTCTATAATCGTATTCGCGAGGACAAGTTTTCCCAAACTAAAATATAACCTCACGTTTGAATAAAACATTGGAAAATCATTAAATATTGTTTCTGTTGTACAAAGCTATTTCTAACAATAAATAAAAATGCTAAATTCTTCTATGAATGACCGTGAAAGTCAATGCCAAAGTTTGGACGACTTCACTAAGAAAATACACCAAGAAATTGTTGAAACTATCTCTACTTTGAATTGGACCATAGAAAGTATAGGAACCGACGTAAGTATATTAGAGATAATATCTTATCAACAACTAAACGAACAAAACTACTTTCTTATGTATTCTTTTAGAATGATAATATGCTGGTTTGTCCGTACGATTCATCTCATCAAGTTAGTAAAAGGATGTTATATCAACACCTGGAATGCTGTCAGTTGAAACACGAAGGTTACAATGAATTTGATATTCTACTGCCTGAATCATGTTTACCATTAAACTCATATTCCTCGATAAAATTAGGTATGTATTAAGCTTCATTAAAAATTCAATTTCAATTTTGATAATGGGATTTATGGTAAACCTTGATTTAATTGTAGATTCACAAATGCAAAACAGCATTTTACAAAAAGCAAAGGAGAAAGATTCAACTTTGAAAATTGGTTAGTATAATGCACATAAAATTTCAATGTTGAAATTTCTACAAGTTTTAAATCAGTCCATTTTTTGCAGCAAGTTATGAATGTTCTACTTGGCACAAGCTCTATATATCCTTTTTCATGTTCTTTGCCATATATTTAAATAATATTAAATATCTACCTCATATTTCCTTATTTAATTTATTTTTTAAGTATGTAGCTTTTTTCAAAACATGAATTCTTAACACTGATAATAGGTTTGGGTGAGCGATTAATTCCAAGAACGTCCAATAGAATCTTCACAGATTTTACTTGTGATGAAAGAAAAATTTTGTATGATTATGTTATATCAAATACAGTGAAGCCTGACATTGGACATGATATTACAGATATTCAGAAATTGTAAGTTTATACAAACAAAGTTTACTTTTTAGGCCTTACATATGCAATATCTTGTAATATCCTTTAACATTGTTTCAGGAAAAGCCAAGATAAAGAAGATAAGAAATTATCCTTTTTGGAGTTGCTTATACAAGAACGTAATTTAAAAAGACGACGGGCTAAGCACAGAGGTGTGCATACAAATAAGAAGTCTCACATAGAAGTTCTCAGGGAAGTTATACAACAGCAAATGGAGTTATATGTAGATTATATAACAGAAGCACGTGCAACTAATCACGATACGAATACTACTACCGAAATTCAAAGTTCCAGTAATAGTCTTAGCGATACGATTAATGAATTTCCATTGAAATGCAACGATGTCTTTATAGAAAATACGCAGAATCATCGCGGACATTCCAGTTCTCAATATAATAAGAAATATGAGTACTTTGAGAAACCATATACTACTTGTCCAAAAGATTCAAAACAAAGAGAAAGTTCACGAATTACAACTGAATCAAGGAAAGTGCAAAAGCTTCATAAACATAAAAGATCTCGTTCGAGGGAACGTGATCATGATAGAAAAAGCAAACGTGGTTCTACACGAACACATCATAAGAAATCTCATAAGAGTGACAAGTCACTTGATAGTGACAGCTCTAAACGAAGTAACGATCGCCGGGAAAAATTAATATTATAACTGTTAAATTTGTATTGTTATTGATATTAAAGAATTTTCTGTATAAATAATAACACAAACTCTAACTCTAAGGGTTGCATCTATTCCTTTTCCATGAAATTAGAAAAAATATATATATAGTAAAATCTATCGTTTTAATTATTACTTCATTAACAAAAGATTATTAATCTGTTAACCTAACCAGTTATTATTTAGTAACAGAATGTTTCTTTACACTAATAAATTGCTTTATTTATGCTTAGAAAATGTCTGAATTTTCAAACGTTGGTTATGTTCATCCATGGTGTATTTTGTTCCATAGTATATGGCGTGTAATATATTATGTGTTACACTTGACTGTAGGTATAGATATAGTTCATTACACGTTGCCAAACGAGTGCCTTGTTATATCCAAGTACGTATAATAGGTATCATATTATGTTCTATACTTCTTATTTATAAAACTATTAATCTGTCTTTTCGTATTTATATTATTCATGTTTCGCATATACATACATATAATTATATGTATATACATATAGACGCGCACGCTCGCACGTGTATCCAATAAGATTATGGAAAAATATGAAGTTTTAAAACAAGTGGGCGAGGGATCTTTTGGACAAGTATACAAAGCAAAGAAACGATCTGACGGTGAAATCGTAGCTTTCAAAGTAATCCGGAAGGTAAAGCGATAAATATTCGACCAAGTTTATGGTGATGGTTACCTGCTTGGATTCATAATTTTATATATATTTCTGTTTCGTACAAATAAAATTATATAGCGTGGTAGATCATTCAAAGAACTAAAGAGTTTGCGTCAAGAATGTGAAATTCAACGTCATCTTCATCATCCAAATATAATACAAATGCTTGATTCATTTGAAACAGAAAATGAGGTATTGATATAATTTTTGAGAAGAATTTGCAATTATGCATTTCCTGTAGAATACAGCTAATCTTTTCTTTAGATAGTAGTTGTGACTGAGTATGCAGACAAGGAATTGTATGAAATATTAGGTAAAGCAGGTCGTTTGTCGGAACAAAGGGCACAAGTAATAGCTTGTGATCTTGTGTCTGCACTCTACTACTTGCATTCCAACAGAGTATTACACAGGTTCGATATTTTACCTGTTAAAATGTTTTCTGATAATAATAAGTTGTTTCTGCTCTAGGGATCTTAAACCACAAAATGTACTTCTTGAAAGCAATGGAGTTGCAAAGTTATGTGATTTTGGATTTGCTCGCAGTATGAGTACAGGGACGCATGTATTAACTTCTATAAAGGGAACGCCACTGTATATGGCTCCAGAACTTATAGAAGAACGCCCTTATGACCATAATGCAGACTTGTGGTGTGTTAATTTTATAGACAACTAGATGTGAGAATGTTTAGCAAAGCACAGTATATATAATACGCATAGCACTTTGTTTCCAGGTCCTTGGGTTGTATTGTGTATGAACTAGTTGTAGGGTCTCCGCCTTTTCAAACAACTTCTATTCTACATTTAGTCAGATTGATAAGATTTGAAGCGATAAAGTGGCCTGATTATATTTCTCAAAATTGCAAACAATTTTTACAGGTTGTAGCATATTGATAAGCTTTAGAAGGTTTTTACTTTTTTCTTGTCCATCAATGATAATTTTATTAGTAGGGTTTGCTACAAAAGGATCCTTCGCAAAGGTTAACTTGGCCAGCTCTTTTAGATCATCCTTTTGTCAAAAATAGAATAGTAATAGTAGGTGAAATTGGACCTACACCATTCACTACACCTTTATCCGCAAGTCAGGCTAGAGAGAAACAGATGCAACTACAGAACTTGGCAGTACAACCTACCAATCATCAATCAAAGTATATATGTATACATATACGTTACAGTCTAAATCTAAATCTACTTAAATCTAACTTTCATTAAAACTGAGTCTTCTCAGTGAATATTGAACTAACAGATCTTCTTTGTAAATACTGGTTTTAATTAGTTAATTCGAGAATTAATTGTATTCCGTTAATTAGAACTAGTTGTAATTTCTAGAATTAGCTAGTTAATACTGTCATTGAGACAAGAAACCTTTGATAAAACTTAATTTTGATTGATGAAATCGAGCAGAGACAGGTCTTTAAGTAAATAAGAATTTTATATGAATATAATGCAGATTTTTGGAGAAAGCTATTAAAAAGTTACAAGAGCATGAAAGAACAATCGAAGAACGTCGCCAGAAAACATTTACATCAAATACGCGTTATCCGATACCACACGGATATTGTCAACATGAAATGAACCAATGTTATACTTTACGACATAGCGAACCAAGCGGAACGGATTCTAGCACTAGTGTCGATGTATTATTAGGAAATCTTAGTTTAAGGGCATCGTTGAAAAGCGACTTACTCTCAGCGGATCATGCATTGTGTCGAAGTGATTGTCCAAATACTACGAATTCAACGAATAAACAAACTGTTTTAACGTTTGATCAGATGTCAAACGTTAAATTACCGGTTCGTTTAAGTGAACGAAACTCGAAACAACATTCGGAAGAAGAAAAATCGGAAAAGAACATTGAACTAAAAAATACCGGTGGTAATAAATTGAATCAGCAGCAGATCGCTCCTCGAGAAGTGGAAACGATTCAATCAGAAAGAGACCATGAAAACGACGAATACGCATGTGATCAACAGCTACGTTGCCGAAGATACGATTCAGTTAATGCTGGACTATCATGTAACAACAGAATACCTGACTGGAATCCGAAGGCTGTCGATAGGCCGATCGAAAACGAAGAATGGATAGCGTTTTTACAACGATCCATGGAGGAAATTATGGAGGGCGAAGTAGGATCGTTGCTTCAACAAAACTGCGTGTCGGTATTTGTATCGCCATTAAGGAATCCAGCAGCCAGTTGTCGCGTTGTCGAATACGTTGCTTGTCTTTTGTCTTTACCATTCGTCGTATCGGTAACGAAAGATTCTCTCGAGAAGATCACGCAAGTATACTTGGATGTTAGAGTCGTGCCGAATCTCGTTTACTCTCTGAAACTTTTAATGTCTGAACGTTCCGAGTTCGAACTGGACAAAAAGTCTGAACCGACAAATGCAAACACCAGATCAGCATCTACGCTATCCGCGGACGAGTTACAAACTCTAGAATACATGATGCTTGTACTTTGCAGATTAGTTTACAATCGACAACAATTTCTCACTCAATTCTGCGACGCCGTTTATATCGTAAACGGAGTAACGTTGTTACAACAATTGTTGAGTTTGGAAAAAAGAAAAGCACGCGTGGTCGTAGACCTCGTTGCGATTTTAAGCAACATATTACGTTCTCAACCAGAAAATGCTCATCTTGTGGAAAAAGTTGTATTGCATTCGCATTTATCGGGTAAGTTTGTCGACTCGAAATTCTCATGTTTTTATCTTTAATCGGCGGAAGACTTTGATTTAGTTTTCCTCCCCTTTTAATTATTTCACTTTTTTTTATTTCTTTTATATCGTTTTTTATTTTTTCGCCATTTCTCTTTTATCGTTTGTAAGTCGATTGTCGTTTCGTCATAATATCAACGAAATATTTTTTTCGTTAAAAAGGAAATTCCATAGAGCAGCTCGGTAAACTGCTCACGCATCGACAAACGATACTCCGAATGAGAACATGTCAGCTGATTAGACTCTTAGCCAGATTTTCTTGTAGAGCTTTGCAACAAATCTGGTGTAAGTCTTTGAAGAATCTAGTAGAAAGTTTAATCCTTGACAACGATCAGTGTGTGAGGCTTGTAAGTAATAAAATTACAATTCAAATGAAACAAATAAGAACTCGGGTCGTCGTCGTCTAAAATATAGGCTGGAGAGTACATACGAAATATACTTTCAGGCCGCCGAAGACGCAATCAAGGAATTAAAGGAATTGATGTACTACAATCAACAAAATCCTGTTACTTGATGCATTTCCTTCTTTGAATATTTTAACATTTATTTTTTTTTTTGTACTTGACAGCAACAAATTTGCATATTATCTTTTTCTATCAAATTAAACACGATTTCAACGTTATTATTCATTTTATTATTCAACACAGCGTCAAACTAAATGCTACTATAGCAATTTATTAACTTTGATATTACGATTTAGTGAGTAGCCACTCGATAGATATATCATCCGATGAATCATCGCTATCCGTGGTTTCATTCATTTGTCGTTTGTTACATTCCTCTTTGTACATTTCTAGCAACTTCAGTGTATCCTTTCCGCTGAGTCCTTTTCGTTGACCAAGTTCTGTTTCCTCCTTCTGCGGAATACAAACGTTGAGCAAAAAGGAAGAATTTCAAATGTTTCCTAAATTTCGCTATCAACTCTCGGGGCAACGTAATAATAATAATAATCTTTTGCAGTTATGAATATGGAACCTATATCTCCGTATTGCTGCAAACTTTTCAATTCGCGAAATTGCGCCGATTACTTACTTTCGGTGTAATGGTCGGTTCACCATTTCTTGAAAACGCGTGAGAACTATAATGCATTACACTCGTATAATCGTAACCAATTCCATAATCTGTGACAGTGCCATTGTCGTATTTATTAAAATTATGCTCCTTGCCTGTATAAATCGTAATAACGCGAATAAATTTTGTTTGTCCAAACGTGAATTTCGATTCGATTCGCCAATCATCGAAGTAATCGACGCGTTACCTGGTTTTATATTTTCCCAATTTATCGTCACCCACTCGTCACGATCCGCGGCACTCTGTTGATGGTAAAAGCCTAATGCGTGCATCAACTCGTGCACGACCACACCATGCTGCACGCATCCCGGATTCTGCAAATTCACTACTTGTCCGCGATCGTGCCTGCCAACCAAGGACCAACATCCCGACATTTTGCCCTTTATAGTGATATAGTCGGTATCTGCCTTTTTATAAGGACGAAAACGTATGCAGGTGTTCTTATGGTATTCCTCTATAGCACCTTCGATTACCTCGATATCTTCTTCATCTATAAAAGTACACGTAAATGCGATGGCATCATTTATCTCAGCTTTGTTATCGGTATTATCTACTTAACGGGGTACAACGTCTTGACAATTTAAAGAATCGAATCTTCTCTTCTAATTTTCTTAAAATTTATCTTCAAATCTCAAAGGCTTCTAATTTTCTTCAAATTTCAAGGTAGCATACTCCCTTAATAAAATGATTTACCGAAATCCTCTTCCTTTATGTAATAAGGTACAACTCCGCCTGGCCAACGAAACGCGTTGTTCACCAGACCATTTTTCCCCCCATCTTCCTCCGAATTAAGCATTATATCTCCTTCGTACAAACCGCTTAATTCCCAAACGTTCTGTTTGTCCTCTTTCGTCCATGATTTTATGCGATCAGCTGTCAGCAGTGAGTAGAAACAAATAAAGAATCGTGATTCAATTAGAATGAATTTTCCTACTTCTGCCAATCAATTGGACAGCTTTCTGAGAGAAGGTTCATAAGAGAAAATAGCGCATTGAGTAAATTGCCTCGAATTTTTCGTTTAAATCTTCATTACGTTTGAATCTATAGTTACAACGGCGCTTAAAGTGCCGGCTACTTTCGACCAATGGTGTTTACCACAGACCTTATAGATCCTTTTTTCAAAAAGCTTCTCAATTACGATCATATACCGATGGTTTGATGCTCGTGTCTTTCGTTGAACGTTCCTTCAAATTTCGGCGTTGGTGGAACTATCTTTCGCTTTGAACCGTAATTAGTAGCTTTTGAATCGACACCAATTGCCACCGTTACGAGGAATAATATAATTGCTATTTCACTATTTTTGAACCGAAGCATCCTTAAACGATAAGTACTATGCTCGATCGTTATTTTTCCGTCGCTGTGATCCAACAAAATATCAACTAGAATACACATCGTACGGTACAACCGTACTTTTATACGCGAACAGGGACATACGTACTTAAATAAATAGACACGTATGCTGCCCACCCTTCGTGTCTTCCATTATCAAACGTTACTTGGTAAAACTTGCTCGTAACCGATATGCACCGTCATTTCCGTTGATTAACCCATTAAGGGCCAACATTGCGTTGACCCAACGCTTCATCCGCAACTTTCTTTTTTCTAGTTTATATTACTGGTAGCGATGAAAATTCATGTCGAAGTGAAATATGTTTGCGGTCTATTCAAAATAGCGCTTGCCATTTTCTTCGAAAATAATATATCAATGCATATTCATGATAGACGATATCGAGATCGCAAGGAGAATACCAATTTGTTTTCTTATCTCGTTACTTATACATGCAATTAAAAATTATCTCTATAACCATTTGAAGAGCATACGGGAAAACATGGTATCATATACATATGTAGGTCAAAATGATTCGGTAGTTAGTCGTGTAATTCGGTATATGGACATGTCATCTCGGAATCATTTCGGGCCTTTCTCCCCTGCTCTCGTGCTCTCTTGGTGTATTCTTGTCAGCTTTCGATCTCTGCCTCGATCGCCATAGCTACTATAATCATCGTTATATTCGGAAGATAAAAATCAAAGGAATTTCATATTGCTCTGCACGTTCTATCAACCACGGAAGACTTTCGAACAAAGACATCGGCCATCAGAGAGCACGATATTCGGATTTCTAGTTGAAAAACTATTTTCATATTTAATTGCCTCGCAAGAGTTCTCGATCGCGTTCGAATAGCGGAAAGTGCGTGGAGAGAACGACAATGTCTCGTGTCGCGTGTCGAAGACAATCACTGGTAAACTTGTAATCACGCTTGAAAATCTTTTCAAAGAGCGATCGAAGCAAGGTCAATGACCAGCCTGTTCCAGATTCGAGTAGGAGCTCCACATAGCCTAAATTCTAACCGGATTTCTTGGAACCGCAAGCAAGCAGAATGGTTCTTTCGCGTCTGTTACGATCGGTACACCTTTTTCAAGTAGATACGATGGCTAACTATCGAGTTGCCCGAACATTCTCATTCGTTTCTTTCTCTATTTCTCTTTCGTTTACTTCCAACCATTTCCCCGTTTCTGTCCTCGCCTAAAATCGTGATTACTTTTGTTTGCATGTCAAACGCATTGCAAATAATCTTGCGATTCTCTGTGCAACGTGCTATAACTTGAAACGAATCTGAAAATGTATACAGAAACTACAATGTATTTATTGTAAACATTATCATATGTTTATGGAACATATCCATATTTATAGCGATAATGACTCACGTTAATTTTTCATATTTTGGGATATGAAATCTTTAAAAAAATTACATATGCTTCTGAAAACTAGAGAATATTCGTTTCACTGTATTGAAAAACAATCAATTTGCTAACGGTATAAACAAATATGTCCAATAAAAATATATCTCGCACATATAAAATATTAGTTGTGAATATAATAAATACGTTTATGATAAAACGTGAACAGAATTAGTTTAAATACGTAATGTTGAAAAAAATACGAACAAACATCGAGCGTGTTGCAAAAGGATCGTATCTTTCTCGCGTGTATCCTCGAGAGGTTCTTCGTGAACCACTGACCCACTGGGGCCGACTGGGGACCCACGGAGAAATATCGGCGGGAACGTCTCGCCGCGTCGGGAACGTATTTCGGTAGTGCGTACACTGACCAAAAAACCATACTCTTTCATGGTTCACTGACCTCGTCCAGCCTCTTCGCACTCTATCTTCTTATCTTTCTTTTTGTCTTTGCCTCGCTACTCGTTACCCATCTACAGTGGCTGCCGAAAGTATTTGGACACTTCTAGAAACCTTTTCCGAATATATCATGTGTGTTATAGGAATTTTGAAATTTTATTAAATTTTTAAAATTTACGATCATACTGGACACTGGGCACGTGGACACTGGGTCGTTATCCAGCGGACCACGCGACATTCTCCGCTTTCCGAACCATTCATTCCTGTCTCTAATACGTTTCCTTTTTATTCACCTTGCTTTTTTCACACCATGACTTTAATTTACATACTGTATCGATACGTTTAACGATAATTGGAAATTAAGTACTGCGCAGATTATAACGTCTTTGCGATAACCGAAGATGCGACTAAAAGATTCTCTGAAAAAAGGCGACATTTTATACGTACCATTCTATTATTAGATAGCTGCAAAAATTAGACAGTTCTGTCATTTCTCTTATTTGTTTGTCACGTTTCTTTGTGTCCCTCCCTCCCTCCCACCCTTCTTTTTCCTCCCTCTTTCTTTCCCGCTCTCGATCTCTTTCTCGTCGCCCCTCTATCCCTTCCATTCCCCTTATTCTATCCCCCTTCTCTTTCCCCAACGATACTCGTTCAGGTAACAAGTATTTCCGAGCTCTCGACTCGGTCATACACCTGTGAGAGTGAAAGTGTCCTCCATCCCCACTAAGAAGCTGTGTACCGTACAGCCACGCTGACGAACAACCAGCCCCGACGCTAGAAGAGACAGCAGAAACGACGTCGCTACCGCTATTATCGTCGTCATCGCCTATTGCTACCGCTATCGTCATCGTTCTCAACAAAAGAATATTTTTATCGTGAGAAAACCATCATCTTCGACTTCATTCGCTTATTTTTATTGCTGGGTTTAACTCATCGTCGCCTGGATTCATTTCGATTCGTTTTCGTTCTTCAAAATTTCGTACCGATGAAACATATTGTCAAATGTATGCAACACGTTGATTCGAACGATCGTTGAAGAAAAAGTTGAGTGGCGTGGTAATGTCGATTTTCCTACGTCTTCGCTTTCTTCGTGAGTGTAATTGCGCTTCTTTTTGCAGATCGCATATTGCACATCGCGAAGAATTTTAATTCTTTGCTAAAAAATAACGTCGAGCGTTGGTACCTGCAACACGAAAGAGTAATCGATTCCTTTCCGCCCTTACTTTTCTCCAAATCGAGCATTTCCATCGTGAAAGTATCAAGGAGAAATAATTAAAGAAAAGAAGGAACGCTACTTCAGGTAGCGAGTGTGCGTAAAGAAACTGGAGGGTTTAAAGGGAATTAAAGAGAAAGTAAGACGGTAAAGGCAGCAAGTATGCGCTGCCTGTTAGAAATACTCGTATAGCGTGTAAAACCATGATGGGTTTAAAAGACATTAAAATGCTTTCATCGATGTATTACCTTGTCGTATCCGATGTATATTACCTTCCGAGGAGAAATTTCGAAAGGTGCGTTCCATAATTTTTTTTACCGTACTTCTCTACTGGCAATCAGTCGCCAGTCGAAATAATACAGTGTTACAGGGTATAGACGCACGGTAGTTTGCGATCGAACTGACGTAGGTAATAAACCCAGAAACGCCTGTCGGGGCCAATACACCCACCTTCTTTTATGGGGCAACGAACTCTGTATATACTCTCTGTATCGTACTGTATCACGAATCATGGTGTCACTCACAACCTATCCTTTATTCGCATACATTAAGTCTGGAGAACCACCACCGATCCATTGATGAATCGTTCGTAATTCAAATCAGGAAGCTCGTTCTCTGATTTCGTTCAATTTGTTCCAACAGGTTGCTTCATCGAATTATTTCCTATTACATATGGATAGAATATTCCGCAATTATCTGTCGACACTAGTCGATCGTCGATATATTACAAAGATCAGAGTCAAGATCATAATCTTGCAAAGTGATAGAAATACTACCGATGTTAATACGATGATATTTATATAGTAAATGTATGTAATAGCGTATACGGGAAATACTAAAATATATTACTGCTATGTTTTTTAATAGCTTAAGGTTATATCCCGGTGGTTTCATCAGAAAGCAGTAAATGTCGATTCTAATTATTAATTCATCGTTAGTTTGTACTCTAATAAAATTCATATACCGTTACCATAAATCAATTAAACTGTCCCGATACTTATGGCCGACAGTGTATGCGACTTTAGGTTCGTTCCATTATCGTAACCGTCAAATTCGTTGAACTTTCTGAAATGCTTCGATATGGTTTTACGTAATAGGGCGAGCAACGAACTGTTTCTTAATTATCTCCTTTCGCCAAAAATATTTCGTTTGGTTCGTCGGCCCGTCCTGCATCAGATACAGGACGATAAAATGGCATGCTTGCGAAGTACGAAAGTCGTGAAAATAGCGTATTAACAAAATTAGCATAAAAGGAGAAAGTCGCGGTCGTTGGCCGCACGACCACGTTTGGTTCGACTGTCGAATCTGCGAATTCTCGTGTGAACGGGTCTCGCAACAGAAAGATCGAGATATGGCGACAACGTGCGACCGATCGGACATTCAAAAAGAAACTGTACTCACACACACAGTCTGAGGAAAAAGGAGGCAGACAACGGGTACGGGACAAGCATCAACTGGGAATAAATCGAATATTAATTTTTTTATCTGGACAAAAATGATTCGTCCCCGAGTTTGTCTTTTCGCAGAATAACGAAAGAACAGTCTGGCATCTTTAATTCCTGTTCAATACGTTACACACGTACTATACAATTGCTGTAAGTCTAACTGTAGTTATATTCTAGAAAAATGAAATCGTGTTTGACATTATTTTTGTAGAACCTTTTAATTTCTATCCGACGATAAATCAAGACGTAGATCATTTTCTAGCCTCTAGACTCTAAGAAGAGCCTCCACAAATTTGGCAAGGATCATTTCCGTTATGAAGACTTTTTCAATTCTTTTTGTCTTTCGCGTCGCTCGAATCAGCCACCCTATACGACTTCCTTCGAGACCAATGTGTTAGCGATAATAGTTTCGTTATATTCTCGATTTGCACGGGTACGCATTAATAGTCATCGAACCATTAAATGCGAAGGATTTTAAAGAACATGTAAAACTTACTAGTCAGTCATCGTTTACCTG